AAGAGTCTATGGTATGAAACAAAGGTAGGCAGGTAATTTATGTATCGGCCTGTCTGGAAAGCACTATTGTCCCGTCGGACGAACCTCCAGACGAGTGCAAACGTTCGTTATAAAGATACCATGGGGGAGGGCAAAGCAAACCAAACTATCCGCATGGGGAAAAATGGTTGTGCATATTACGTAAGCGCAACGGTTACCTGCTACAGTGATGAGACAGTGACCGTGAATGAATAATCACTTAGTAATTTAGACAATTAGACTTTAACAGTGCAAAAAGCTGCTCCCCATACGACCTGGAATGCCCTCGTTGGAAATGGTCGTCCAGGCCCTGTTTATTTCAACTCATCATCACATTCACCACGTTTCCCCCGCCAAGGGCCTGCTTACTTCATTTTATGCTAAACAGCTCAAACAAACCCCACTTCACGTATTTGCTCATTTAAATTGTGATGGTTCGAACGGCAAAAACTTGCGTTGGACTGACGTGGTGGGGTACTGCGAACAACAGCAGTCAGTGCTGCTTGAAAATCCTCAGAATAGGTTGTTGCAGTTTTTTGAAATCAGTTCGCTTCAGTTCAAAAAGGCGACAATCATCTAACGACCACAGAGAGAGAGAGGGAGAATCATCAAGCCTGTGGCTTTGGCAGTTTGCCAGCAGTGCACGCAGACGCACAGGGTTGGGCGCACTTACCTCATCATCCCAAAAAGTCGTTTTTCGGGGAAGCATGATGGCTTGTTTTATGAGGAGGACAAGAGCGTCCACCGAGAGCTTTCGCATCTCCAAATGCGGGAGTTTGCACATCTACAAATTCGGGAGGAGAACGAAGTCATTTTCGTGAGGAGGGAAAAAGAGAAATGTTTCACCGGTAATTAAACAGTGTCCGTATAGCCGGGTCGCTTTACATCTAAGAGCAGCTAAAGTCGACACAGATGACGTGACTTATTGTCGAGATGAGCACGCCTTTTTAGTAGTTGACAATGCGTCTTCAGACTAGAAAGGGTCGCCAGACGAAAACGGTGAAAAGGTAGAATATTCAGAAACATTAAGTGTCCGGTTCTCGCTTGTTACCTGTAGCAACCGTCACCTATGGCAAACGGACAACACATCGACGCTGAGGTGGCTACCAGCCCAAAACTTAATATTTGTTCTATTATCAGTTCAGAACAAAGGTCAGATAATCCAAGCTGGCCTGTTAGTTACTGTCAAGTCAACCTGAAGCCAGTATTAAATGAGATATAATGACAGACCTCGTCCTATCAAAAAAGTGACTACTAAGCAGAGGCTTGTCTTTGCGGGCCCACGAATAGTCCAGTTTTGAAAGCAAGTCTCTGTTCAACCAATAACGTGAAACGGTTTCCTTTACCGATACGCTGGACGAAAAATTGGCATACGTCTGAAGCAAATCAGTCTGGTACTAATCTGCCGCAGATGCATTTAGTCGACAATGCAACAGTGTTGCCACTGATTAGAAAAAGCTGTTCTGCAAGTTTACCATATTTTCCGATAATAATTTAGTACAAAAAAGAAGTACTACAGAAGGGTCGAAAAACTACGAGAAAAAGGCCGGGCGTAATTTGCGACCTCACCGAGTAAGACTTTCTTGTGTTGCTTGGCAATATTCGCAAGAGGCACTACACATTAATGCGTAACTAAATAAAAAGATAGAATGCTCCAAGTAATCCTTGTTGCAGGCAAAAGTAACTGTGCGGCTGTTCAAAGGTTGTCCTGGGGACTTTCTCAGTCAAGCAATGCTGCCCCGCAATCGGCTTACTTTACCGCCAATGAAATGGCCTACTCTGTGTTACATACATTCATAGGTCTCGTTCGCCTTCCCTACTTGGAGATAGGGGGAAACTAACCGCTTGTATCACCCTCACCCTCCCTCTGGGAAGAACTAATCTCACTGCAACAGCTTGCTCGCATTGCGTGCAACAGGATGCACGAACGTGAGGCAAAGTGACTGTTTGTGGAAGATGTGAAAAGTACAACGTACACAAGAACTGGCTGGCAAAACACCACCGGCCGTGCGTCACATCCTCATTAGCACGCGCACTAAGATGCCGTGCAAAGGAGCCAACTGTCGCACCAAAATAAATGGCGAGCGGATGGAGGGAGGGAGGGTGAGCGTCGTCCGTTAGTCTTATATCGCCAGCGGATGTTGGACCAGGCTGTAGCAGAAGACATGATGACCTACAGAGTGCAAATGCAAACATCGCACAACACCGGAAGTTTGAAATCAGCGTCCTGAATTCACAACAGCCAAGTAGCGCACGAGAAGACTAAATGGGCTTTGTTTTCTGCCTCAAGAAGCCATTAAATTTAAGAAGTGTCGCATTGACTGGCCACTGACCCGATTTAAGGGACAAAGGCAAATTTATCGTCCTTTGGAAAATGCACATGTAACAAACAAAAAACGGGGTGGCGCCAACATATCACAAAGTGTCAAAAAGAAGTACTGAATGAGAGAGTGCTGAGTGAGAACTGAGGAGTCCGTGACTACACGAAGGCATAGGCCACAGCAGCACACAAAGTGAACCTGGAGATGGAGGGGAAAAATACAAGGAGATTATCTTTGCATTAAAATTTGCCAGATGCCAACAAAAAACGCCAGCCTTGAAGCCAGGAAGTTTTAGCCACAACCATAATTTCTGAGCTGTAGAAATTGCCAGAAAACAAGCGCACCTCTCTTCGACGTATGAAAGACGGCTAATTCAGCAGTTTACTAAGGCATGGCGACTTTATATCGCACAATATGATTTATATCGGGTATAATCAGAATCTCCTTCACTCTCCAAAACTTTGGCGGAACCACTGATGCCTATAACTGTTGCGGCGTCGATGTTTTTAAAATCAAAGGATACAGGAATTCGCTTGCATTCTTTTCCAACTAAAATTTGCTGAACTTTTTCCAGACTATCAAAAATCATTCCAACACGCGTGTGGATGGCGGATCTCCGTCAAGTGTTTTGGCGGAGACTCAGACTGTTGAATTAGCCGCGAAGTCTACAGTAATACACTAATATTAGCATAGAAAGACATTCGACGCTCTAAAAAGAGGTCGGTAAAATGTGGTTATGTAGCTCCACCTGAAGTTAACAAACCCGAACGCCCATTCACGGGCCCGGTGGTAAAGGGGGTTTTCGCAGGTGGGGCTGGGGAACGCACAGGCGACAAGGTCAAGCGGTCGTGTGCAAAAGAGCTATTGGGGTTGCGCGGTTAAGTAGTTGCCCTAACCCCTAACCCTAGCCTCAACACTGGCCCAACAGTAATATGTCCATCAGGTGGGGCTACATAACCATATCTTATCAAGAGGTCAACAGATTAGGTTCCACCATTTGATTGCGAGTCTACCGCCACGCTTGTCTTATTCAGGACTGCTCAGTCAGCCTCTATTCTTGTGTTATCTCTGTGCAGTGTGTGCGTTATTAAGCCTTCCTATGGGTTCCCTAAACAGACTGCGTTAGACCGAAATTGAGCCAAACACATGCTAAACTGGTGTTTACGGCATGTCAACTGCTGCGCCCGATCTTATTGACCCCGACCGATCGACTCGGGCATGCCAATGGCGCCTTAGGTCAATTCAATGCGGATTCAGTACTCAAGGTCTTTAGTATCGTAAATATATCTCCAGCTGGTGGCAACTCACTCTCATGACAAACCTGAGATTCCATTTTAAACTCACGACATTTGCGTGCGGAGTAGGGCACGTGTGACCCTCGTAAACGTGCGTTAGGCCACTTCAGGCTGAAATATAATTCCCTCAGTGGGACGGATGGAAGGCCGGAAACTGCAGACTGTAAGTGGACTTGCCCACGACAAAAGGCACTGCAGGGGACAATTCACCGCCCACTGACAACAATCATCTTTGACAGGATATTTCGTAATAAACTGCAATCCACAGTTAGAAGCTTTGTCTTCAAATTCGTTCGAGTCCTTCGACGATGCCTGCTGTTCTCCATGTCGAAAGTCGGTATCTTATAAACAATCCACCTTTGGCAAAATCCACTGACAACTTCCATCCTACCGCAAATGCGAAGGAAAATAAGGGAAGCGTTACGCAAGCTGGCACAGAGTGAGGCAGTCAGCTTTACCCAAGAAAACATGAGAAGGTAGAACGACGTTTTTGGTTTTTTCCACCGTCATCCAGTCACCTTGGTTAACCTGGTCTCTGTAGGGAACATTCTACGATTATTGGCTACTTTTCGTTAAGCGACGCCTACGTCAACTTTAAACCGGAGCGGCGAAGCAAAACGGAATCAGCAAACTCGGCCAAGCAATCAAGACTAGACGGCAAACGATACTCTCTTGTGACTTGAAAGTCATCGATTCAAAAGCGGCGCACTCTAAGACAGTAAAGAGGTCGCGCACGGTACGCGGATAAGACAACTTCGTTATCGTAAGTTGATTAGAACCACAACAAACAGCCCGGTCGCCGACATTCATCAAGGCCAGGCGTTGTAATTTAGACAGTCTGACGGAGGAACCAAAAACCTGCCTAACCCTGCTGATCAGCTTTACAGAACTCAGAAAAACCCAATATTCTCCGCCTCCAAGTATATAAACAAGAATTCAAATGTTAGGATCAAAAAAATCAAAAACGTCCACGGTTTGTGCTGGGCTACAAATCAAGAATGCCTACACCACCTAACCTCGTCTTAAAAGCTAGGTTGGGTTGACATATTAAAACAGGATTTCCCATAATTTGCGGTCGATTTGATAAAAAGCTGGTCAAGTTTGCAGTTTTACTTGCTAAAGAGGCTTCAGTTCAAACACACACCCACGCCACCAACTGGAATCACGAGTGGGGAGGTAGTGGAAATAGAGCGCGCAGTGATTGGCCAAAATCGCGGGCCGCCAAGAGAACGATCCAATCTCAGTGCAGGGCGATAAACATTCAGCGCGTCGAACCCAACAGAATGCGCAAGTGAACGTTTTCACAAACTGAGAAGAGATTTTTTGTATGAAATATGAGGAGCACTATCTTGCGTATTTAACTGTAATGGAGCATACCAGCACATCCACAAAAGCGGCCGCGGAGGCTGCTGAAGAGGGCTTCCTCAACTGCACACACTATCCCTTCCTAGAAGATTTTGACCGTCACTACAAACCCATTCACGCCTACCTCTCCCTCAGTATCTGCCTCTTCGGCACCGCCACCAACCTCCTCAACGCCATTGTTCTCACTCAACGGACCATGCGCAGCCCTACGAACATGCTCCTTACCATTATTGCGCTAGCCGACAGTATAACGATGATCGGTTACTTACTCAAGGACGTCTACCTGCATTTCATGACCAGCCCACTACCTGACGGCGCTGACCACGGGCGGGCGGCCATTTACTTCGTCATCATCAGCAACTTCGTCACCATCGGTGGACATATTGTGGCCACCATCGTGACTGTTATGCTAAGTGCGTTCCGTTGTTGGATCCTCTACAACCCGCGACGGCAGATTACATACCGCGAACCCGCAATAACCGCCCTCTGTGCCATCCTCGCTAGCATCATCCTCACTATACCTGGCTTTTTCAGTTACATTGTTGTGGCTAGACCTCACGGAGGCCGCGGTGACAGCAACAGCAGCGATCAGAACTGGTGGTTCGAGGTGCGCAACGGCACAGAACACCTGGAGAGTGCTAATTTTGCCATATACGGTTGTATCATCAAATTGGCCGCCAGTTTCTTTATTGCCCTCTTCACGGGCCTCATTCTGGCCGCGATGCAGAGGGCCCGGCGACGCTACCTAAACCTAAAACGTCTCAGCAGGAAGTCAATCGCTCCGTCGGAGGTGCCTGTGGAGAATAAAGGCAAGGAAGAGTCGCAGGTGGGAGGCGATGGTGAGCAGGCTGATCGGGAAGCGGCCGATGGAGCGGAACGTCTGATATTACAGAAGGATGCCGAGAGGAGACGCGAGGGCGTACAAATGCGTAGCAACCAGCGGACAACCATTATGTTGGTTGCTGTAGTGATTAGCTTTGTTATCACAGAGGCTCCACAGGGTGTAATTAACACATTAGTCGCAAAGATGGGTAATTGTTTCCTATACAGCGTGTACGTGCCCATCGGAGACCTGTTGGACCTTTTGGTGCTCCTAAATTCCTCAACCAACTTCATCCTCTACTGTGCCATGTCACAGCAGTTTCGGGCCAGTTTTCGACATCTTATGGAGAAGACCTGCGGATGTGTCCTTCAACGGCTAAAACCTACAGGTGAGGAGAATGAACTGCGACCCCTGAGGAGTACTGTATTTCGAAACAAATGGAGAGTGGTGATGGGAAAGGACACGGGAAGTCCAGCGCGGTTGACTGAAGGCAAACTTTGACAATGCGAGGCAATGCACGCAAGTCATACAGAGTACAAATAAGGCGATACCGTCTCTTGCGCCCCAAGCCTCCTGGAGTACCGGACGCGTGCATAAGGCAAGCTTGAACTCTAGATGTCTACTGTATGCTTTGCCGACCGAAAAACCTGCCCGAGAGTCCTTCAAATCCCCCAAAGTACGACTTCTCCTAAGATAGTGATTCCTATAAACTTGTTCCCATCCACGTAAAGTTATCTGTAAAAAAACAGAGGAATGGAAGATAAACCTCACATTCTTAAAAAAACACTGGAGATCCTTTTGCTAAGCGTGTGGTAAAGTCAGAGAACAATAGAACGGACCCACAAACGCAATATCACGATTTAAGCCAAGCACGTGACCCTATGAATAACTTTATAAACACCCCTGACACGAATTTAAACCACATTAGCAAGCAAGGCATGGAAAGCTCAAACACAAGAATCAACTGCAGAGAAAAAAACATGTATTAGGGGACGTAAGGCGAAAAAAACAGTAGCGGGTGCATGAGTCTACTGATTCTCTAGTCCCACCTGATGAAACATAATAGAAGTTCGGAAGTGTAAATATGGATAAAATCTTGGTAAAAGCGCATTTGGACAAAAAACGTACTGGTAGATTAAAAAAATATGGGGGCTAGATCGCAGTTGGTAGCCAGGTCCCGTACTACAGGTACCTGGGGTTTTGTTTACTGGGGCTTTTTTGTGGGGAAATATAGTTGCATCTGACCCATTTGGCTTCCGTTTTACGTTTGAGGTTAGGATTAGGATACCGGTTAATGGTGTCCGATTTTCGGGGTAGGGTTAAGCCCTTTAGGCTTAGATTTTCGGGTTACGGTTAGGGTTTGAGTTTACGATTAGGTTTCAGTATTACGGTTAGGTTTTACAGTTAGGGCTATGTCTAAGGGCTACGGTTACATTTACGATTTCGGTTAAGGTTAGGGTTAAGGTTGCCATTAGGGTTAACGTTTAAGGTTAAGGTTAGGGTCGCCGTCCGCTTCCCCAGTCTTGGCTACCAACTGCGATCTAGCCGAAATAGGCTTTGTATCTGAGCAGAGGCGCCCGACGAATATGGAGGTGGGATAAGAAGAGACAGAGAGGGGGGGGACGAGTCAGGACATTTTATGTAATGTTACACTGAGCAAAACAAGCATTAGTGAGTGCGCGCGTGTATTCATTTCGCAGCAAAGACCAAAAGTAAGCTTCGGGCAGTGTTTAGGTGCAATCCTACGACATTTAGGAGCCGAGACACGAGTAAAACTGTGCGTCCGCCTGCTAGAAACCAGTGTATTCAACTGAAAAACCATAAAAAAATCTATGTTCGAAAACATCAACAGGTTAACCCGCCTAAAATGGAACCGCCTATCCTCTTGAAGGGGACGCTGAGGATAATCGTGTACGGAAACGAAGCTGAAGTGTTCGGTTTGATGAGCCGGACGGAGTTAAATGGTAAAAAGAACCGGAAAATGTTTGGTGAGCAGAGCATGCAAGCATGCTGATGAAAAAAACATACAAAACAGTAATCAACGTGGGAGTCGCAATAACACTTTACACTTCCTAAAAGTCAGCCTTTAGCAACTCATGCAATGACAATCAACTAAGCAAAGAAGTCTTCCAAAGCACATTTAAGGGTGTTTTTAGCCCTGAAGTCTGGATATAACCTATGAAGTAAATTTATTCTACTTAATTTAGTTTATTACGGGTAAATGGGGATGGGTCCTGCAAAGCCCTTTCAACACTTTCAGTCCGTTAAAAATACATATGTACGTCGCACGAGTTCACCTAAGTTCCAAATCATGGCAAAACACTGACGAACATGCCGTTTCAAGTCGGGCGTATATTTCAAAGTGATACGTGGGTTGGCACAACAAGCTGGGCAGCAAAATCTTCAAGTTAGATGACTCCGGATAGTTACAATTGACAAGTCTCCGAGTACCAATGACACATGCCATCACTAACGTTGCTTAGATGCTTGACCTGAGCTATAGTGCGCATAGATCCTTGAAAACGTAATGTGAGCAGGAGTTTTTTGGAGTTCAAAAAGCGGAGTAAATACCGGTTCAAAGCAAAATGTTGACATTATTTTGCGTGTTTTAATTTGTGGAAGTTGTAGAACAGAGCCAGTGTATTGAAACGTTTGCGAACAAGGAGTGATAAGGCTTGCTAGCCAAATCCCGATAAAATACATGCAGGTCCTGATGCCGCCCGCGACAGGACCTAATGCTACAGATAAGACTGGGTTACTCCGGATCCCATCTCAAAAGATCGCCTGGTCACAGCGACTTAGGCACAAGGTGTTGCATGCGCGAAAAAGTGAGGTAGGTAAGTAAGAAACTGGTGCCGGTCAGAAAATTTCAGGAAAATGCACATATCGTCCAAGCATTGGAGAAATTGGCTAACCAATGACTTTAGAACGACAAGGCTTGGCGGTATCCACAGTCAAACAGAAAATGTGGAACGGGGCTGCCATAAACGATTGTTTTAAGTTCTTTAGAGTTGATAACAGCTAAAAATATATCTGACCGACGGAATGCATGCAGTTTTGTATGCACAAGAACTACCTATTTGCTTAATTAAGCTAGGCGAAAATCCATCGAGTGCGGCTCTTAATGAGCAGGGCTTCGTAATGCGAGACAAAACATGTAGCCCAGAATGAAAAAGGAGTAAGAGGTGGATAGTAGGCTAGCTTGAGGGTCTGAAATGGCAACCTGTACAGGGGAGAATGTTCTAACAGACGTTAGCCAGAAAAACTGCGAGTGCCAATGAAAGAGTCATAGTGGGATACCAATACAGTCGTTCGCTCGTTGGATTCTACGTGAATCACCCTGGGACAACGGTAACGCATATGCTTGCTGCATAATTGCGAGGAAGACTTTAGCGGTACCAACCACCTTCGTTCTCTCTTTATCTGTGTTATCATTACACGGGGTCAAAACGACTGCGGGTAAGCGCGACGCAGTAATTAATATCACACAAAATTCGGAAATGTGCCTGTCACACAGGTGACGGTACCGCAATTCACGTGGGTCAGACCGGACTCACTGGGGTCTAACATCAATGCGAGTTGGCATAAAACCATCGCAATCTAAAATCCAGTCGCTAAAACCCGGTTCTTGCAATAGCTGGCAAACCTCCAAGCCTCGGCCTTTAACGCTATGACAGGAAAAAGGAGGCAAGGCCACACACAAGAGACTTCACCCTCTCTTTCCACTGGCACTGCATTACAGTGGCAAGATCGAGTTGAGCTGACAGGAGATCCGATCGGGCTAATGGATACCTGACAGCAAACCACCTCCAGACCAGACAGAAAAATTCGACCCAACTTCATTGCCCCATAACATATGCATCTAGGGATAAATGGATAAAAAATGTGCCTTAATGCAAAATTTATTCCGAGAGTCGCGAAAAATGTACGGAGACTATGATGCGCACTTGGCTGGAGAGGCAATAATAAATATTTAATGCAGATACGTATTGAACGCAATAGCAAAACGAATGCATGCACCGTGACGCACCAGTTTCTACCAAAGATCGTCCCAGTCACCTAGAAACATTATCTGGCAAAAAGTGAACTCTGAGAAGGCATTGTCATCCTTTTTCGGTGTTTTCATGCAGTCAAATAATTCTGGAAAAACGTAGCAAAGAGTTCTTTTATCAATCATTCGTGGGAAATAACATCTGGGGAATTGGTACTTAAAGCTCAAACGACCTGCAAAGCACGAATTTACTGGGGACAGGCAGACGCAGAGGATGAGGCGAAGAGACACGCTAAAGGAGTTAAAAACGGTAAAGACAGCATTTGCTGTGCAAAGGAGCCTCCGCTTTCTCGTTTCAACCGGGAACAAGAAATCTGGGAAGTTGGCGCGCAGTTCTTAAGACGAGGCACTGGACACTTCTGAAGGACAGACAGCAACACAGAGTTCAGAGGAAGTGCAAACCCACCAGGTGGATACATGCGAATTGATGGGCTGTTGAGTTCGCCGAACTTTAATTCAACTTATGTAATCGCAGAATCGGTGCACCTTGTGATCATGAATCGAGCAAAGCGGATGAAAAAAATTAAAAAATGCACAATTGACGTGGAAAGGGCGTTCACCGATCGGGTTACGGGACCTACTCATCCCGTTGTGCCATCGGACTCAACGTAGAGCACTAGCAGACAGTCTCATAGCGACCACGGATGTATCCTGAAACGTGTCCGGACAAAGACAAGGGAGACTGGAATGGCCATTCTTGGCTTAGTGGCCGTCATCAACCAGCGATACCCAGTCCCGAGTTCGGGGTATCTGGGATTCGGACCCGGGATCTCTTGTCACTAAGTTCCACACTCTATCAGTGGAAAATAAGAATGCGACTAGGGGGATGAAATCAAGATACTCTGCACTTGACGGTCTGTTAACGCGTAACCGAATTAAAGGAGTCCTGGCTTTAACCGTATGTGGCACATGGGACGAGCCTTAACAGTCCTGCCGTCACGCTTCATAGGAAAATGCGAACATTATTGAGAATATCCCCACCTGAAGCGGTTGAGTGTGGCATGAAGACAAAAGAAACATACCAGGAATGCGTACCCTAAGTCTCTCCCGTATGAGACTGTTCCGACCCTATCAGCTGATTTCTATTAGCTGGGCGCCAAAGATGTAAGCAGGTCGCAGATGCTACGGAAGTAGTTAAGTTTCCCTTTGCGTGCCCAACATGAAGTTTTATGCATAATAGGTGGGGGACAAGACAACCGGCTTGTGAATAACCTATATTACCCAAAGGGAAGATCCATATTTGGGGCCGTAAAACGGTCAGCTGGTGTGACTGAAGAATTCCGACAGATCAACATTAAAAACACTTCAGACACAAAAAACATACGCCAGTGTCTGCCTTTGCACACAATCGTAGGTCTGGATGTGCAGAAAAGGCAGCGAGGCAACTTTCTGAATGTTGAATGCCCTCAAAAAACTAGAACAAATGTGGCTGACAGAATCCTTCAGGCAG